ATATATTATATTTTTATAATATAATATTATAATATTATAATATATATTATATTATACAACAAAATGTTAAAATTAAAAACTATTTGTTCAAAATACTATCTTCTACTATTTCTTATTTCAATATTTATCTCAAAATAGTATTTATATGAATTGATTATATTAAAAATATTTTGAATTACTATTATTTTATTACTATTCGAAAAAAAAATTTATTTAGAAAATCCTATAATATCACATATAAAATATTTATATCAAAAATCTATCTTCCTCAATCTTAAAAGGAATTTTTACAAAGTATTTCTTAAAAAAATTAAAAAAATATTGAAATATATTTAATAAAAAATATTTAAAATCTAATATAATATATAAATCTAATATATTTATAAATAAGTTTATTTAATTTTTCATATTTTCAAATATAAACTAAAAATTTATGAAACTATGCATGTTATTACATTGACTTGCCATAATGAAGGATAATATGATCCTCAGAGACTAAACGAAAGATAGTTAAGAGACATTGTAGTTAACCGATGTCGCAAGAATTCTGAGTCAGAAATAAATGAAGAATATGAACCTCAAAACTCATCTTCTGATATTTCAGACGTCAAGATTTTTCATGGAATTTCTGATAACATGATGCAATATATATGTCATGTGGCAAACGTAGATCAATGTGATGAAATATTTTTTAAATGTCTCATTTATGAATTATGATCGTATGATGAGTGTATTATATGAATATATTATATAAAAAAGATTATATATATGATTTTTATTTATAAATAATATAAATGTAGGATTTTAATAATAAAAATGTTAAAATATTTATTTTTTTTAATAATAATTATCTTATATAATTAATGATTTTTATAAATAGATCATATTACCCTTATTTTTCTAAAATGATTTATTTTCATAATATATATCAAATCCAATTCATTTATTTTTCTTTTGTTTCAATTTTTTGTTAAACATAATCTTATTAAATTATCTACATTTTAAATAAAGATTTAGAAGACGGATAATATGGCCGAAATTTATTTCAAATAATAATAATTGATTTTAATTTTGATAATTTGATGTTATTTCACATAACGTTAAATATTATTTGATAAATAATAATTCAATTAATGTTATTTATTTATTTATAAATAATAAATTGAAAAATTGATTATTTGAAAAAAATAACGTTTTTATTCCTTAATTATAAATTTGTTTTTTAAATAACATTTTAAAGAAATATTAAACTATAAATGACATTGATTATAAATAATATTAGTAATAATATAATAAATATATAGAATAAATTATGACACAATAAAACAATATTATGATAAATATATATAAAATATAAATAATGATTATATATTAATTTGTATTATTTTAAAAATAAATTATTTATCAAATAATTTTAAAAAGTAATTTTCAAATAATTTAAAAATTTCTCAAATCTTATATAAGTTTAACTTATCTTAGTTAACTCTATTTAATTGTAAAAGAAGAAATATGAAACTTAGAGGATTCATAATTTTCTTTCTAATGATTTGAAGAAACAGTAAAAAATTTTTCATATAATTTTTTCAATTAATTTTTAACATATGTATGATAAAAAAATCTCTACTTCACAATTTTCTTTTTGCAATATATATACCATTTGCATATAAATCGATAATATAAAAGCAGATTTATGAACAAATATGTTAAATATTTATTATTGAATTTTAATTTAATTTAATCTTCATAAATTTTAAAAATTCTTTTGTTTGTATAGAAAAAAATAAAATACATTTCATAAAACAATTATAATAATAATGATCGTTCACAAGACAGTGTTAATAGATTGATTGATAGAATAATAGTAACAAAAAAGAATAATGAAGCTTACATCGACTAGAAGAACTGTACATAGATATATAAAGATCAATTATACAACATAAATCTCGAAGCATAACATTTATCATTACGCGATGACAAGAACACAATAAAATATAAAAAAACAACTAATTCTGAATCAAGATCTTGTAGACTTCTAATATGAATTAATTGAAAGTGAAAAAAATCAATTTTATCGCAATAATTACTTGTATAAATGATTGATCTATTTATGAATGAATGAATTCATAAAATCTAATAGTAGAACAGCAATGTAAATTATTAATCATTATTTTTAAATATTATTAATAATCAAATTATTAATATTTTCTAATGTGCAGTTAGAAATGCAATCGAAATATTTTGAAATGCAATTAAAAAAAACTTAAAAAACTTAAAATTAAATATTATGTTTTTTATTTTGTATGTCACTTCGAAATATATAAAAAATTGAAAAATTTTTATATTTCTTTGTGCTTTATCCTTGTTAAAAATTTAAAAAAAATAAACTATATCTGGATCCCTAATATTTTTAAATTATAAAGCAATTTTTTTAAATTTATGATAAATTTAAATTATATATATTATTGACACTTAATTATAAAATTATTATAAGTTATTATTATTAAAAAATTTGTATGTTTTTTATATAACAATAATAAATTTAATGTAATAAAATAATAAAGCAAATAAAGTTTTATAAACAAATTCTGTAAATATAAGATATCTATTATTTTATTTAATAATAATAAATTGCGAAAATTTTAAAAAATAATTATTCGTTTACATTTTATAACTTGTCAAATCATTAATGTTATTAGTTGATAAATTATTATATCCTATTTTAGATATTTACACAATTTTTTTAACTTTATTTCAAAGTTAAAGAATGCATACAACCTCAAATATTTCGATATATTTTTAAAAATACTAGATAAGATATTTTAACTAAAAAAGATAAAATATTTAAATAAATTTTTTCAAAACTTGATTAATTTTTATGCTATTAAACATAAAAATATTCAATAAAAAAACATCAATAAAGGTCTAGAATGGCACAAAAGTATGGGTATAAATAGGTGTATTAAAATTTACTAATAAGAGAATCGTTAATATAACTATTTAACAAATATTATTTTGTTATATTGTTAATTATAATTGCATCAGAGTTGTTTGTATTCAAACCAATATTTATTAAACTAAATAAAAATGAACTTACTGCGAATGTTGGAACACCGTCGTCGAACTTGTCTGAACCAAGTGATGATTTCTCTATCACAGACGGGATGGTTATAACTCGCCAGTTCCATGCAACGCTCTAGAAATCCGTCACTGTAAATACTTTGCTCGTTGTCCGCCTCGATGTCGAAACACTTGGACGCGATCGATGTTATCGATGTGGTTCCGATCGGCATTAGCGGCAAGTCATTCGTTATGTGCTCATCACAGGACTGCCGTTCCATCGTTTTGACGAAATAATTATTCGAGCAAGATGATTCGAGGCGCCGATGGTAAAAAGGATCGCGGATAGAATTGTTATCGACATTTTGAAGGATGCTATTCGAAACGTCTCCTGTCATATCTTGAATTCTGAAATGCAGGAATATCATGGAAATCTTTAATAGATAAAAATCTTGACCGTGCATCGTTCAATAATTCCTAGGAAAATATCTAGTTCGTTTTACGTTCGCATTACCGGGAAATGGAAACAAGTCAAGATAAGAAGGTTCGAATACGAAACGGTCGAGGTCAACGTATACGTGGCGTTCATTCTGATTTGTTTCGCGCGTCATCGTTTAGTGTTACGTCACGTTTCGGTATTCAAAAGAAAAAAGCGAATCGGTCTATTTGCAAGTTTGTTGCACGAGCGTTATACAACGGAGGCAACGACGACGCAACGCGACGTAACCAACGTACCACGCGACACCGGACACTCGGTTCACTTCGTGCATGTTCGTGCATACTCGTATAAACTCGACGCGGCACGAAAATCTGATAGATTTCAAAAGTACGCGCGTCCCGATCATTTATTTGAGAAAATCATTTCGCGTTTGAACGATACGTCGCATGAGAAAAGCTCACATCATGCACTTGCGATCTATCGATCGAAGAAAGAAAGACAAAGAGAGAGAAATATTTCGATGAAAATAGTCATAACGAAACAAAATCGATCGATCTGTCGATCAATCTTGATACCTTAAGAATTTTTCCGCGCGCATTTTCGAGATTCAGCGAGGCTAACTAGGGTTAACTCGACTCTCAATTGATTACGCGTATCTTAATTGACAGATCTAGAGTAGGCGTTTACGTTCTATCGATTTCAATCTCACCAACGAAAAAGTTCCAATATACGAAGGTAATCGATTTTTCTTATTTTTTCTCACGTTTATAGTACCAATTAAACTCGCGTGTCCAAGCGAAAGTTTGTCGTGCGCGCGATTTACCTTTTTTCTCGATTTGATTGATTGAACTCTCGCAATTGATAGTCCGGACCGCGCGAAACTTTGTCGATCGTGCGCAAATTGTCCTGAAACGAGAAGATTCGTTCGGTGCGCCTTCGGTAAACTCGACCACCGCGAAGAAAGAAGTGCGGTGGCGAGAAAGAAGATATTTATGCCGGATGGAGGGGGATGATCGGACGCAATCGTTTCGAATCCGTTGTTTGGAAGAGCGGCGCTTAAAAATCCGAATGGCTCTCGAGGAAAGGAGGCGTGCAAGCGGGCTACACACGAGTTATCGACTTACGTCACCCGAAGATACTCGGATCTAACCGCGCTTCGATGAACTCGCCTTTTCTCTCT